ACTGACATAGATTATACCTGTGACCCTGACCAGTCATTACTAAATTTGGGTGGTGGGGAAGTACAAGCTCTTTATACTTCAGCAGCAAATAGTATTTTGAATAATCCATAAAAGCCATTAAATCTCAAGGTCGGGAGTGAACTGATAGGTAACGTGATCTAGCCACCTTCTCATTTAACAGTACAAAAATCCTGCAGGCCATGAAGACTAGTTCATATTTTAAATAAGAAAATGTAGTGATCCTTAAATCTTAAATCTTTATTTATCTTTGTAAATAAATACAATCCCAATATTCATCTATTGTAATTCTCAGGCTAAAAAGATCTTAACAAAATAAATTAAAGTTCTTAACACATTATGAACTCTTTCTTCCCAGTAGTATTTTCTTTTCAGTTCCTTTTTTTTTTTTTTTTTTTTGAGTATTAATTCCAGGAGTAAGCATTAAATGGTATCAATATACACATTGTTTTACTTAATATTCCTCTGTGAGTGAAAAACTTGAATGCTTTAGGCATTTTGTTTCAGGTAATACAACTTCATGTGTTTTTCTGCCTGCTGTAACCAAAAAGGTAAGGCATTTGCAACAGATTATTTGCATATGCTTCAAATTTACTCTGAAAAGTCTAATTTTCCATCAGATAATTTAAAAATTAGTCAGAGGGCTACAAGAGTTGAAACCAAATTCCTGATCAGTGTGGCTACCTAAGGAATTTTACAGACACTTGAGGGACTGTGTGGTGACCACAATGACGTTGTAAGTGGGTTGGCTAAGTTTTATTTTTATCTCAAAGGGTGATGTGAACTCTAATGGAAAATAGTGGTAATTTCCTGGTTAGGTTTTTTATAAAGATTAAGACCCTTTGCACGATTTGTTTTGAGGCTTTACAAGACCTGTAGAATTGTGTGAAGCAAGAATTAACCCCTTTACGTGGAAGCCATCAGGATGAAACCTATTTAAGGGAATGCACATATCAGAGGGGCAGATCTGGGAATGGAATCCCAGCATCCGAGATCCCATATGGTCTCCAGTTAACAAGACTGGGAAGACTTAAACATTCCTCACCAGTTAATTAATGTTCCTTCTTCCTTTGTTTTAGTTACAATGTTTAGATATGGGTTTGACAGAACACCCTCACAGAGGTCTACAGGAACCTCTTTTTTCAGATTACAGTCATGTTAAGACTGTAGCTTTAAGGAGCTACATTAAAATATGCCAGATTTACTTTAGTTAATTTATCTTTATCAGAAATCTATTTTTCATTTATGATCAAGATGGAGGGATTATCTGTCATATCCAATATAACTTGTTTTCAGGGTCTTTGTAGGGTTTTTCCCTATCCTTGGCAAGGTACTTTTTTTTTTTAGGACTATTTCAATCATCTCAAGGAGTTTTTGTGACTCCTTAGACAGAGACTGCTAGGTGTATACCTACATACTTTTCAGGTGGTGCTGTGTATAGATATACACGATGTTTACTATGCAAGGGTGCATGACCAAGGGGTGCAAGAGAGCTGCAATCCAATATGCTCTCTGCTCACAAAACTGTGCTCTCTGCATGGGATTTGTTAATTTGTACTAAAGCATGGGCATGGTATGTGCTTGTAGAGGTCCTGATATTTCTGTAGTAAATGTAAAATATTTCCTTAATCTTTTCATATTTTGAGACTTGGATAATATCAGCTTATCATTTTGTCTTGATTTTTTAAAAACTGTGGTTAAATATACATAACATAAAATTTACCATTTTCGCCATTTTTAAATGTGCAGTTCTGTGGCATTCAGCACATTCACATTGTTGTACAGCCATAACTACCATCCACCTCCAGAACTTTTTCATCATCCTCAACTGAAATTCTGTGCCCATTAAATACTAACTCCCCATTCCCCCTACCCCTGCCCCCTGACAAACACCATTCTTTCTGCCTCTATGAGCTTGAGCACTTTAAGTACCTCATGTAATTGGAATTATATTTGTCCTTTTGTGACTGGTTTATTCATTTAGCATAGTGCCTTCAAGATTTATCCATGTTGTTGCGTGTGTCAGAATTTCCTTATTTTTTAAGGCTGAATAATATTCCATTATATGTTATAACATATTTTTAAAAATCTGTTCATCTGTTGATGAACATTTGGTTGCTTCCACGTTTTGACTGCCGTGAATAATGCCATGAACATGGTTGTACACATTTTCTCTGCTTTCAGGTCTTTTGGATGTATATTCAGGGTGTGATTGCTTGATCATATGGTAATTCTAGATGTTTAATTTTTTGAAGAACCGACATACATTTTTCATTTCAGTGCAACATTTTATCTTCTCAGCAGCAATGCACAAGGGTTCCAATTTCTCCACATCCTCACCTATACTCACTATTTTTGTTTTTTGTTTTTGTTTGTTTGTTTGTTTTGATAATAGCCATTCTAATGGGTGTGAAGTGGTATCTTGTGGTTTTCATTTACATTTCCATAATGATTAGTGCTGTTTACCATTTTTTCATGTGTTTACTGGCCGTTTATATATCTTCTTTGGAGAATTATCTATTCAAGTCCTTTGTCCATTTTTAATTCAGGTTGGTTGATGTTCAGTTTTGGGAGTTCCTTATGTATTCTGGATCTTAACCTCCTATCGAATATATAATTAGTAAATATTTTCTCCTATTCCATGGGATGCCTTTTCATTCTGTTAATTGTATCCATTGATGCACAAAAGCTTTTGATTTTGATGGTCTGTTTTATTTTTTTTCTTTTGTTGCTTGTGCTTTTAATGTCATATCCAAGAAATCATTGCCAAATCCAACATCATAAAGCTTTTCCTGTATGTTTTCTTCTATGAGTTTTATAGTTTTGGCTCTTAGGTTTATGTCTTTGACTCATTTTGATTTAATTTTTATAAATGGTGTAAGGTAAGGGTACAACTTCATCCTTTTCATGATCCAGTTTTCCCATTGTCTTGAAGTTTTCAATACTATATACAGTCATTTTTTTTTAATCAATCTGGGTGATGGTTGAGAGTATTATTGAGAAGGAGGTCACACATGACCCCAAATCACAGTTGAAGCATGATTACACTACATCTCTAGCATACAGGGATGGTGCATCCGTCCGTTTCTGCTGCTTATAACAAAATACCTGAAACTGGGTTATTTATAAAGAAAACAAAATTGATTGCATCAAGTTTTGGAGGCTGGGAAGTCCAGAGTTTAGGGAACACATCTGGTGAGGGTCTGGGTGGTGTTGACAGTGACCCAGGGGTCTCACAGGGCTGAAAATGTTAGAGCAGAGAGAGAGAGAGAGAACTTCTCATGTACTCTTCTTTTAAAGCCCTCAGAACGATGCTCTGACTGCCATTATTAATCCATTCACTACGGCATGGTCCTACATTCTAATTACCTCTTCAAGGCTCCACCTTTCATTTATCATAATAGGACTTTCCATCCTCTTTACCCTGTCACAGTGGGGACTAAGTTTTGGGGGGACATTAACCCAAGTCAGGTGGATGAACTGACTTAGCATAATAAGTACAACAGGACCTAGTTGGCATTCACTTCCCCGTAGTCTACATTGTTAAGCAGCTGGTGGATTGGTGCACATAGTCAGCTCCCTGATATAGAGAGGAAATGAGCTAAGCCATCCCTGAAGCTAATCTAGATGAAAAAGAGTAGATTCTGAAAACCCCACCCTTTCGGGTCTTGCCCTGGCCCCTAATGGCAGACCAGAACCACAGCAGATCTGCTTCCCTCAGCCATTTTGAGGTTAGTAGTGAGTGTTATTCAGCAGCTGTCTAATTCTAACATAAACCTCATCTTGGTATAGATGGGTAATTGTATTTTGGTGAATATGCAGATTGACTATCCCTTACCCTAGATGCTTGGGACCAGGAGTGTTTCAGATTTTGGAATACTTGCATATACATATTGGTTGAACATCTCTAATTCAAAAACCTGAAATCTGAAATGCTCCAATGAGTGTTTCCTCTGAGCATGACCTTTGAGTGCTCAAAAAGTTTCAGATTTTGGAGCATTGTGGATTTTGGATGCTCAGATTAGGGATGCTCAACCTGTAGTAAAAATAATTTCATGGCATCTTGAACTTCCATACAGTATAACACAATTGTTATGTACCCTACTGGGAGGAGCCAGTATACCTGTTTCTGTGTCAGTTATAAAGATAATGGGATGAGAAAAGAAAAAAAGGTGGAGTTTGGAAATTGTAAACAGTTGACAGACAGCTTAGTTGTTCAGAATATTCGTTGGTAAGAGCATGGACTTTAAATTCAGAAAGAACTAGGTTCTGATGCTATTCCATCAGATATAAGATGTTAGCCTTGGGCAAGTAGGTTGCCCTACTTGGTTAAACTTTTTCAATCTGTTTTCTCATCCATATGGTGAGAATAATAATAACCAATGCTATGGGGCCTTGAAAGATTAAATGAGATGAGATGTATATGTCAAGTGCTGTGCACAGTGCTAGGCCTGCTGTGAATGCTCAGTAAGAGGAAGGTATTGATGATGGGAGAAAATATCCTGTTAAAGGCTCATTTGTTTAATTTAATAAGGATCTTTGTCTTTCTTGAGAAAAGATAGCACGATATATTCTAGAAGGAAATTTAACAGTTCATAAGTCTCTTGGATTGTTTTTGTGTCTGTTTGGGTTTTTTTTTTTTTTTTTTTTTTCTTTTCTCTTCTTACAACTGCTCCACTTGCCACAGCTGGAGGGTTGCTAACATATTTGTCATTTTGCTTCCTCTTTCATACAAGTCTCAGTGATTTTCAAGTTCTTTGCTTTTTTCACGGAGATTATATTTGTAACAAAATAATTAATTCTTTATGAGTTTTTCTTGCACCTATCCACTCTCTGAGTTCTTCTATTTAGGGTTTTCTCTCCCTTTTAAAGTGCGCACTCATGTATTCCACTTACTACACTCTTTCCTTATTAACTATTTTACACTTTTGTTAAAATGTTTTTGAGTAATCCTCATAACTTTTGGCATTGATCCTTCCCAGTGAGAAGAGGTGATGTTCTGGCAGCATGGAGTGGTATCCGTCCCCTTGTTACAGATCCAAACTCTGCAGATACCCAGTCCATCTCCCGAAATCATGTTGTTGATATCAGTGAGAGTGGCCTTATCACCATAGCAGGTATGAGATATTACCCCGTTACTTGGATGTGCTTTAGGTACAGGTTTGATTTAAATTATCCCCTCAGAATCTCTTTGAACTCTGATGAACAAGGATTTTCTTTTTATGATTGAGTAAAGTTCCATACCTTGACTTGCTCTGTTTGTTATAAATAACAGGTGAATTTTGTTATTAATAAGTTGATAAATGGTCAATTATAAGAAAAATAAGGGCTGGCATCCTAATGAATTGTTTATCAACAAATTGTTTATCAACTTCTTTGTAGGTGGGAAGTGGACAACTTATCGATCTATGGCAGAAGATACCATCAATGCTGCTGTCAAGACTCACAATTTGAAAGCAGGGCCAAGTAGAACAGCTGGGCTTTTCCTTCAGGGGGGTAAAGATTGGAGCCCCACGCTCTATATTAGGCTTGTCCAGGATTATGGACTTGAAAGTGAGGTGGGTGTGTGTTGTCTTGTCATTGTTTTACTGTTTACCTAATCTCATTTTTGCCAGTAACAGAATTGGCAACCATGATATGGCCCCCCCAATTTAGTTTTTTTTCCTGGGTACATTTCTGTATACTGTACAATTAAACTAAGAAAATAGATGATCCTACTTTGCTTGAGTTGCCTAAAAAAAGAATGTACCTTTTAGTTTCTATTTTAAAATCTGGACTTTGTTTGGTTTGTTCCTAGTATACAGGAACAATTTTTTTCCATCTCAAGCATGAGGAAGGCTGTTCTTCAGAAGTGATATCAGGAGCAGAATGAAGCTGCAGCTTCATCATTCACTGATACAGTGATGCATGTGTAGTAGAGTTAGTGCTGGCCTCAGCATTTGAAGCCAGAATGGTTTCCTCCCCACAAAGTAAAAATCTAGCACTCTTTGAGAACTATTAGTTACAGGCTGTAAGAAAACGGGCAAGATCAGCGTGTACATTTTTTGCTTTGTACCTACAGGTATTGATATTCAAAGTACTTGCCTAATGTAATTTTGTTTCTCCAGGTGGCACAACATCTTGCCGCCACCTATGGTGACAAGGCTTTCGAGGTGGCCAAAATGGCAAGTGTGACTGGGAAAAGGTGGCCTATTGTTGGAGTGCGTCTTGTGTCAGAATTTCCATATATTGAAGCGGAGGTATGTGAATGGTCACAGAGGAATTTCTTGTCTGTGGGATACCGTTCATCTGTTCCTTTTTTATCTTCCTTAAAACTATATGTAGCTTAGTTTGAATGTACCTGTGTCAGTTAAAACCTGGAGTAAAATGTTTTTCTAGTGCAGATCCTTTTATTTACAAAACTTTCATTTTAATTCTGAACTGATGTTGATAGTGGTAATAATGATAATATAAAATATGGATTTTTTTTTCTCCATGGAACTCCCTCAAGTCTTGTTAATTCCCAGTTGTTTGTCCTTTTTGTGAATATGTAGCTCTTTAAGTTTGTACCACTCATGTCCTTCCTGATGATATACATTGATGTGACAGTTTCTTAAAGAGTTAAGTCTTGTTTCTCATCAAGTTTTCAAATTTTATGAAACTAGAGACCATGTTTTATATTTATTTGTAATTCACTGTGCCTTAAAATCTCGGTGTTCAGTAAACATTTATTTGTTGATTGAATTCAGGGTTTTTGTCATCTGGTTTCTCTATGAGAGGAAACTGTATAGCCTAAAGAGATAGACCCTAACTTTTTAATACTCATCCTTTGCCTATTCAGCTCTGTAAATTTACATCCACATTATGTATAAGCAAAGAAAGGTGAGTGATTACTGTGGATGGTTAATGAGAAGTGATGCAATTTGCATGTTTATAACAGATTCTGTTCAGGAAGAAGGCATTAACTCTTGTCCAATTTATCCCATTTTCCAAACCTCCCTTGGCAGGCAGATGGAGGACTTGTATGAGGCCACTATTTGTCTCATGTCTGCTAGAGAACGAAAGAGTATCAAGAAAAATGTCGCCTTTCTGAAGCATGAATTTATTTCTTTAAGCAAAACTTTATTTCTTCTTTTTTAAGGAAGGTCTAAACTAATAATTTTTTTAAAAATTTGAACTCAGGTGAAATATGGGATTAAGGAGTATGCCTGCACTGCGGTGGATATGATTTCACGTCGCACTCGCCTGGCATTTCTAAATGTCCAGGCAGCAGAGGAAGCCCTACCCAGGATTGTTGAACTGATGGGCAGAGAACTGAATTGGGATGATTATAAGAAAGAGGTATTATATTGAAGTCTTTAAAACCACAGTTCCCATTACAAACATCTAATGATGTGATCTGTTAGTAGAGGCTAACATAGTTTTTCATGGTGATCTTAGATTTCTTGCCAATTTCTATGTGTGTGTGTGTTTAATATTGCTAAGCCTTAGGGAGATGAAAGATATTCTTGTACTAAAATTTAATCGTTCCTGGAAAATCTTTTATAAAACATTCTCTGAAATTTGTGGTCGCAATTCCTGAAAAAGAAAGATAATAATGATTGTGGGGTAGAACCTTTTCTGGTTTTCATTGAAATCACTCTTAGAATGTATTCACTGAAATTCACACTCCTGCTAATTTGCCATTGATAAGAAATAGTGGTTTCATGCCTGACCACCAAGTCCTTATCATTTGAGTCATTTGAGATTTTATATTTATATCCAAATTAAAAAAAGAAATCCAGTGATGCTCAGATGCACACACACACACACACACACACACACACACACACACACCCACACACGTACACACAAGGGTATTTCAAAAAGTTTGTGGAAAAATAGATTAATAGTTAATATGAATCTTTCCGTGAACTTTTCGGAGATCCCTCATCTATATAGAGTCCTGGTCTTGCAATAAGCAAAAGATCTTCATGCTTTTGCACTGAACCAAATTATACTGCTATACAGAGGCTAATGAAGGATTTTCATACATTTATTTTAAAAAGTACTGTCTGGAATCATTGGGTTCAGTTTCTTTCCCCGAGTCTCTCTCAAATGCATTCCATTTAGGCTCTTTTCACCCTGCTTTGCTGTATTATCTCTGGTCAAACTCGGGAATAACCTCCACATACTTGACAAATATATTGAGTTGCTCAACATACTTTTCAGCTCTCAGTCCTCATTTTACTTGCCCGTTAGCAACATCTGACACAGTGATTTCTCCCTCCTTCTTGAACTACTTTTTTACTTTCTGGAATGCCACCTCTCTTGGATCTGCTCTTGCCTCCCCCACTACTACTCCTACAGACTTCTCCATGTCGTAAATAGCTATTCTTCCCTTTGGTTGCTCAGGCCTAAGCATTAATATCATACTTTATGCATTCTCTCACACCTTGTTTAAATCCATCCCCAAATTTTAACATATTTATCTTCAAATAATGGTTTAGATTCAACCCTTTCTTAACACATTCAGCCACCGTCACCCTGATTCAGGCTACCAGCATCTCTCATATGGATTATTGTGATAGCTTCCATCCCCCAAACCAGTGTCCCTGCTTTACCGATTTCAGTGATTCTATTAAAACATTATCCAGATCATTAGATATGTCAGTCTGAAATTCAGAGGGGTGGCTAGGGCTGGAGATATAAATTCAAGTCGACATTTAAGCCATCAGACTGGATGAGCTCGTGTAGGGAGTTAGTGTAGTTAGCTGATGAAAATGATCTGAAGACTGAACTCTGGAACACTCCAAAGTTTAGAAGTTGGGGAGATAAGGAAAAATCCAGGAGAAAGAACTAGTGAGGTTGGAGGAGGTAAAAGAAGACTCAAGAGGGAGTTGTGACACAGAAGATAAGGAAAAAAGTATGTCTTTTTCTAGTTGAGCTGTTACAACAGAATACCATAGAGTAGTATAGCATAGGCTTAAACAGCAAACATTTATTTCTCATCATCTAGAAGTTGGGAATTCCGAGCTCAACGCACCAGCAGATTTAGGGTCTGATGGAGGCCTGCTTCCTGGTGCATAGACAGACATCTTCTTTTTGTGTCCTTACATGGCATAAGTGAATGAACATTATTGAGCATCTATGTCATATGCTGAAGGTGCCAGGAATGACTGGGCGTGAGGCCTGTCCTTAAAGTATTCTCATTCTGGTGTAGATTCCAAAGATGGTTATGTATCAGAGTCACTTGGGAAATGTAGGGGAAAAGGGCAGATTTTGAAACTTGATTTATGACTATCAGAGTCAGGGTCTTCAAGGGGAAGACCATGACCCCTGTATTTTAAAAATTCTCCAATAATTTTAATGCAGTGGACTGTAGTGCACTAATGGTGGAAGTCACTGGTCAAAAAGAGTTCCTTAATCCTGATCATACCCCTGTCGGGAATAACCTTTACCCGCCTTTTATAGCTGAAGAAACAGGCTGATAGAGTAAGTCTCTGTCAGAGTTCATGCAAGTAGTAAATTATGGAACAGGAATTGAAACCAGGTATTCTCATCCCAGAGCAAAAGCTTTCCCCACCATGCCCTTTTGCCTCTGCATTAGCTATTCCAGTTTTCAGTTCTAGTTTGGTCAGCTGAAGCTCTACACAGAGGCAACACAATAATGAAACTTACTCCTGTGCTACTGCCAATCATTTTTACCGTATAGAATGTTTGGGGATACTGTGTTCTTCCAAAAATTGTCATTGGAATGATTTCAATATGCAGAAACATATTTTGTGTTAGGAATTCAGGCTGTAGGAAGTAGGAAGGAGGAAGGAAATTCTGTAAACTGGTGTGTTCGGTTCTCCCGGAGAAGCTAGATTTAATTTCAGTTCAGATTTTATGAGCAGATGTATATGCTCAGAAATACTCTCCCATCCCCCTCAACAAACTAACACAAATAAAAGACCTAAAGACACAGGAGTATTAATGAGGACTGTGGACAGTCTGGAGAGAACAAAGGAAAAGGGAAAAAAAGAAAAGGTTAGAAAGTTGGACTTCTGAGAAAAGGTTAAAAGCATTGGGATTATTTAACCTGCAGAAGTGAAAGAGGAACAAGGTGATAAATAACTCTCTGTAGATGAATCGTGGTTGCTTTTACTGGTCAATACTTAATGAGTGACTTGTATACTGAACATTGTACCAAATATTTTAAGAGAATAATAAATAGCTCATAGTTTCAAGGATCTTGAAATCTAATTGGGTGGCTACAACACATGTATACCTCAGAAATGTATGTATATTTTCCAAGGTTTGGATAAATACTTAGAGGAACTGTTACTCAGGACCAAAATCCAACCAATTTGGAAGAACTGATGACAGAGGAAGGTAATGTCTGGGGGAGTTGGAATTGATAGAGGAGTTGGTAGGGACATTTAGAGAAAGTAACATTGCCAAATTGTTGCCACCGGGTATAAATTAATATATGTGAAAATATTACTTTTATGATCAAAAGAGTTTGGGAAATTCTGAGTTAAATAAATGAAACTCTTTTCTTTAGTGCAGATAATTTAGAACCTTTAAAATGCTTATGTGTGTTTCAATTTCCAAAAGGGAACTTATCTGGAGATAAATTGAACTCTCACTTTTTGGGAGAGCTGGGCAGGAAGGGACTAGAGTTGCTCTTTGGAAAATGCTGCCCTGTATGATTTGGTAAGGTAGATTTGATATCAGTTAGACAAAAGGAACATTTTTTCAGTGAGAGACTGTAAAGAGAAAACCACTTAAGTGGATTGAGAGAGGCTCACACAAAAGTAATTTTTTTCAAAATTGATTCCAATGATGAGGAAAAGGGGGAAGCAAGTGAAGAAATCGAATGACTGGACAAAGCAAGCTGATAAACACCAAATTTAGAACAGATGGCAGACAAATGCTCAACAACGAAAGGAGGGATGTCAGTGCTAATATGGATGTGCGTGCATAGTGTCAGGAACTGGCTGGGTGTGGGGGAAAATGCCAAGGGCACCAAAAATAGCTCTTAAAAATTGAAAAATATGCAAGTAAGGCCTAACCTAGATTGTTGCTTAAGGTGTCAGGCACCATAATCTTGAATGCTGGAAAGAAGGGAGACCTATTTAACTTATAATTAAATACCAGTATGTTTTGTTTTGGTTTTTTTTCCCTTTTCTCTCTTTCTCTCTCTGGTTTTCATGTGAAAAGAGCAAAATAAATATTGGTTAGAGGGAATATGTATTCAAATAGGAAGCTACTCTAAATGAGTTTTATGCCAGTTCAGAAAAATTCTACCTCAGAGTTCTCAGAGAATTTGCAGTTGGGATTATTTAAATACTGTTGATCTTTAAAATACTGTAGCAAATAGGAACGGGACCAGTAGACAGAAGGCGAGCAAATGTGGTACCAAATTTCAAAAAGGGGAGGAAAGAAAATATAGTTTGCAACCTAGAAACTAGCGGTCTTGGCATTGGTCTTGGGTGATTTTCTAGATTATGGCATTTTAAATTTGTTTTATCATCACTTAGCAAGAAGTAGTGATCACTGGAAGCTAATAAGGAATTACTTAGGAAAAGTCATTTCAGGCTTCTTTTTGTTTTGTATAGAGCAAGGTGATTGTTAGATCAGGGATATGTTGCAGATATATAATGTATTTGGATTTCATAAAGAATTCTATACAGCTCCCTGTCATATCTTTGTAAAATTGGTAGATTTGTAACTAGTCAAATGACCAATGTTGGCCTCAGAAGAGTTCTCTGGTAGCAGATCATAAGCACTCTGTTCTCAGTCTTGACCTAGTCTACCTTGGTTCAAGTTCTTAGACTACAGTGTTGATGGCATGCACTTTGGTGTACCAATAACAAGAAACTGGAAGGAGAGTGAATGTTTGATGACAAATTGAAATAACAGGTGAAATTATATTAGATATAATTTAATAGAGATAAATGGAAGATCTTGCATTAGGTAGAAAAACAACTTTCATTCATTAAAGATAGATTTGACAAGGCTTAACAGTAGCACATGTGAAAAAGAAATATGGTTTTAGTTAACTGTGAATGCATAGCAGTTAACAGTGGACCGTAGCTGCCCCCAAATCCAATTGCGATCTTAAACTGCATTAATAGAAATCATATATCTAGATTGATGAAGCTGATAGTTATTCCCTTCTAGGTACATGCCAGATCTCTGTTGGAGTATTGTGCTTTGTTCTGATAATTGTATTTTATGACAGACCAGTTATAGTCTGGAAGAAATTATCCAGCATGGTATAGGGATTTGAAATCATGTTTTGTGCAGAAAAGTAGTTATTGACTAAAAGAAAACTCTAAGTACATGATACTATATTCAAATACATGTTGTTCTGTGATACAGAAAAAAAAATTAGATAGGAAAGTTTTGTAAATTCCAAATAAATTGGAAGAATTGCAAGGAGATGGATTTAATCTCAACATAAAACTTTCTAACAATTGGAGCCATTCTTTTATGGACTTTTTTTCAGTGGTATTGTTACCTCCCTATGAGCTCTTTAGATAGAAGAAGCATCATGCTTCCATTTTTGGAATGTTATAAAGTGTGGGGTTTAGGTAGGAGCATTGGGTGACCTCTAGGGAAAAATCTCTTCCAGTTTGAAATTCAGTGATTCCTTGCTTGATGGAGTGTGGACAAATTCCATAGGCAATGAAGGGCCGTGAACAGAGGAAGAGATTGTTGTTGGAGGGAAGCACCAGAGATGGCATTTCCAAGGAGATGAGTTTTAAGCCAGTTTTTTAGAAAATGGCTGAGCAAAATCGGCAGAATAGCAAAATAATTTTATTTATGACAACTGGTAGATTTTGTTATGTGGAGAAATCTTCCAGGAAAGAATGCACTTGGAGATGGAGACTTCACAGACAAGTTTTATGTATTTTATGTGTGTGTGCATGTTTGTGTATATGTTATACATACACATTTTAAATTTATTTTTTAAACTAAGAGAAATATTTAACATTGACGGCTTTTTATTTTGCTATGTAATAACATTAAAGAAGAACCTTTCTAGTCTCTATTTCCTAAGAGAAAGGAAAGTAGGAAAGGAAGAATCTCAGAAAAAAGGTTTGTCTCCCCAAGAAAAGAATACAGGTTTTATCACTGACATAAGCGAACATATGTAAATTCATTTCATGCAAGTATATGTACCATTGTTTTATTTTCCTCATTTTACTGCACACTGGCACTTTGTTCAGACCAGAATTTGGGAACCATGGAGATAGTAAGATCCTCTGATGGGAAGTTGGGGAATTTAAGACTTGGATTAGTTTTTGCTAGGTTATTCTTTATAACAAGCAATTTCAAAATCTCAGTGGTTTATCACAGCAAGCATTTATTGTTCACTACTTTTCACTTATATTACACGAAGGCTGCATGTTAGCTCTGTGGTTCTTCTCCGTATTCCAGGTTGGCATCAGATCTCATCTGAGACAGGCCGTTCTCATGGCAAAGGAGCAGGAGTGGCTAAGCAAAACTGTGAAGTTACTTTTAAAGCTTTTACTTAAAAGTGACATGTATTATACCCATTCATGTTCCGTTGGCCAAAGTAAGTCATGTGGCCAGCTCATATCAATGGAGTTGAGAGATATGAGGGTACTTGAAAAAGTGCATGGAAAAATAGAATTATATAATACTTCTCCCCCATACACACACGCACACATGCACGCACACACACACACACACACACAAGGGTACTTCAAAAAGTTTATGGAAAATTGGAATTGAAATAATACAAACCTTTCCAAGAACTTTTCAAAGTAACCTCGTATATATGTGTGTGTATAAATGAAGAAAGGGAGATATTTGTAGACAACATACACTACAATAGAGCCATTTTAGAGGTTCATACATGGGAGAGTGAGTGGCATGATGAAAACTAAGAAAAACAGTTTTTGAAGCAATAGTATCCATTGAGACTGGTGACATTGAAAAAAGGAAGAGTAACTATTGAGGACAGCTTATTTCTTCCCATGATTCTGTAACTTCCACCCAACTATCAGAATCCCAGTCACAAAATTTCAGCATAGCCGGTCTCATAATGTCTGCTTTGGCACTGCATGTTGCATCATAGTTGTAGTTCAAGTCCCAGATATCTTCACTTTTAATTGACTTTTTTGTTACCAAACTACAAGAATTCGGTCCAATAGATTTTGCTGGTCAATACTGTGCAAGAATACTCAGCAGTAAAAAGAAACAAAATAATAAAACATGCAGCAACGTGAATCAATCTATGAATCATAATGCTCTGTAAAAATAGTCAAATGTAAAGGACTGTATACTATATGAAACCTTTTATATGAAATTCCAGAAAGGCACATTCTGGTGACAGAAAGCAGATCATTGGTTGCCTGGGACTAGAGTTCAGGGGAAGGATCAACTGCAAATGGACAAGAGGAAGCTTTTTCGGTGTGATGGAAATCTTTACCTTGATCATGGTAGAGTGTACATTTTATTGAATGTAAATTATGCTTCAATAAAACAGGATGAAATAAAAAATTGTTATGGTCAGATAAGTGAGGATCAGCTTCTTTTTCAAAGACCAAAAGGAAAAAAAAAAAAGGAAAAAAATCAGTAATTCGTTCCATAAATCTTTGAACTTTGTGTGTATCTGTTTTAGGAAGAACTTGAAAGAGCCAAGAAGTTTCTTTATTATGAAATGGGCTATAAATCTCGATCAGAACAGTTAACAGATCGCACTGAAATTAGCCTACTGCCTTCAGACATTGACAGGTACTTTTAATAAGTTTCTGTCTCTCTCTCTTTTTTCTTGGCCTATGTAAGTATGTTTTTCTTTTATTCAATTCTAGGTACAAGAAGAGATTTCATAAGTTTGATGCAGACCAAAAAGGCTTCATTACCATTGTTGATGTTCAGCGTGTATTAGAGGTAATTTTTTTTGGTTCAGTATGAGTCTTTGATAGCAGAAGAATATAAAGATAATATTAGATAATTTTTTATGAACTACTATTTTCTACAAGTAATATTTTTGTTTTACTATTTGAAAGCTTGATAACATTAGTAAAAGAATATGCATATTTTTTTTGTTTTGTTTTGTTTTGTTTCTGACCGGTAAGGGGATCGCAACCCTTGGCATGGTGTGGTCTGCACCACGCTCAGCCAGTGAGTGCACCAGCCATCCCTATATAGGATCTGAACCCGCAGCCTTCGCGCTACCAGTGCCACACTCTCCCGAGTGAACCATGGGGCCGGCCCAGAAAATGCAAAATTTTTAATTGAATCTCATTATTCTGTGCTTTTCTTTCACTTAGAGTATCAGTGTCCAAATGGATGAAAATACACTCCATGAAATTCTGAATGAAGTAGATTTGAACAAAAATGGACAGGTTGAGCTCAATGAATTTTTGCAGGTGAGTTGTGGTGAAAAGAGAGAAATGTATTTGCTTTTATCTTTTAGTTGTCGTTACTACACAGAGTTGTCACTTTATTCTGAAAAAGAATAAAGCTTGAAGCCAGCAAAGATTGATGTATCTGCACTCAAGGATAAGGCTATGCTTGGTGCATTTTCTGTATTTTTGTAAGAAACATTCTGTTATATTGGGCAATTTAGATGAAATCCAAGTTAATTGTGGCTTAATGGGTTGAATAAGAAGCATGCTTTTTAAAGAAGTATGCCATGGAATATCACTGTTGGACCATTCTCTACCTACATCAAAAGAAGCAACACAATATATCTAATGTTGAAAGTAATTTTTTATGGAGGAAATTTTAAAAAATCATAGTTGTGTTCATTTACAAATCATATTCATTTGAGAACATAATTATTAGATTCTTACATCGTAAAGAACCAGAAAATCAAAAGGAAGGAAACCTATACTCGGGGGTCAAGACCATATATTTTACACATTTCCATTTCCAATTTTTAACTCACACAGGGCTCAGTTGTTTAGTATTTATAACTATGAAGTAAATAAATTTTGTTACATTAACTGTAAACTGCATGGTACACATCATTCCTTAAAAGTTCCTTAAAATAAAGACATTGAACAAACCCATACATTATTTGTAGCTGTCCATATGACTCTGATCATATGAAGAATGTATTAGTTTCCAAGCAGCCTCGTTTTTTTTCTGCATGCATCTTGGGCAGGTATTTCAAATGAATGCCAGGTCTTGCTTGCACCATGGCAATGATGAATGCTGAACATGAAATAAATTAATGCTGGGATTTTGGTCAATGTCAGCCCTTTCTTCACTGTGTCAAGTTAAACAAACAAGATCAAGGCAAAGGAAATGGTAATTGTCTCTCTGGAGATGAGCTGCAGATAAGAGCATTGTTGAATCTAAATGCAGAAAATTTTCACAGGTTGTGTCCAGCATTACAAAAAAGAATGTTTAGCTCTTTAGCTTACTGTTTAACTAAATGCACATTTTAAATTGAATTTAAAATTTATGCTTGGGAATTGGAACACATTTAATGCATTTTTTGTGTGGCTTTTTTGGAGAATATTTTATTGTCTCAGAATTTTCGAAAACTTTTCTTCAAGGAAATGGCTTATGCTTCATTTCATGTGTGTTGTAAATAAACAACAGCATTTAGGGTTGAAAAACCTGGGATTTTAGAAACATTATATTTATGGATATGCTATGTGGTTTGGCTTCTAAGTAATTTTCTTGAATGAGGTAGAGTAAAACACATAGAAAATAATTTAAACCATCTGCAGATTTTCTTGTATTTTTTTAATAATTGAGTTTTCTTGTCCAATTTTAAATGAAAGAGACTATTCATGCTTCTACTAAGTGCAAATGCAGAGTGTAATTTTCAACTTAAAAAATACTGACTGTATTTTTTATGAAATATATTCACACCCAAATGTTATTTTTTTCCTTGAAATATGGTTTCTAGATACATGTAATGTTTAAAGGAAAATTTTGAGTTTTAGAGGTTGATACATTGTATACTGTTTATGGCTAGAAAAAAAAGAAAGCAAAACAAAAAAGACAAACCTCTAGCTCTGTCAGTTTTGTTAGCTCTGATAAACTTTTCAGGTCTTCCTGGAATCAGAGACAAAACAATGAGCAATAAATTGTTTTGTCTTCAGGTGTCGGCATTCCTTATGTTATACTATGCCTCAGATGTAAATTCTGTTTTCAGATTTTTTTTTAATAAAATATTTTTCTTTTCTGAAGATTAAGAGCCCATGTTTATCCTGATAAGCATCTTTTCTCAATATAGATATGTTTTAAAAATAATTCTTCTGGAAGGATCACTATAGATTTTGCATGGTTACATGACTTTATTTCTAGGTTTGGGCTTTAATGACACTTTTGCATGTAGGAGTCCATCTCTAATAAGCAATAGCTTGTGAAACAGCTTTTAATAAGGTCATGAAATTCTGATCCAGCCTCTTGGCAGATGCCTCTGACTGTTATTCATAGTTGTTTTTAAGAAATATATCTCTATAAGCTAAAAATTGTAACCCTAAAAATACTTTAAGCATTTTCATACATATTTTTTCTGATGAATGGCTAAATCTGTTCTTTTTGAAGTAAATAAATAAAAAAGATTGGGGAAGCGAGATCAAGAAAAGCAAATAGTTAAAACCATGTCAACTTGAAAAGGAAAAAAATCCCCATGCTCATAATTGCAAAGTGCCTTCCAGATTAAAGGCCTTTGCCCGCTGACTGCATGTAATTTTGAGACTAATTCAGATTTTATCCATTGGATAAAAATGAATTAGCTAAAATCTGGGCTGTGGAGTGCTTTTAATTCTTAAGGTAGATCTCTGGGTCCATTTTCAAGGACTTAAATGTAAATTACTTTAAAAAGTCTTTAAGGAATTTGGATTTAGGGGACTTGAAGTTATTAAGTACAGTAACACTAAAAAATGGTAGATAAATATAGGTCATGGTTTGTCTTTGTTCAGTCTCTGAGATTCCTTTTTAAGATTTTTAAATGGAATTGAAAATCCAATATTTGAAGTTGCTCAAAAGGAAAAAGAAAAAAAAAAGTGTCCTGAGCACATTAAGGGGCAAAAAGTGGTGCATCAGATTTGCTTTTAAAGGCCGGCTGATTTGCTAGATAGATGGAGTTTTTGCTCAAAAGGAAAAAGAAAAAAAAAAGTGTCCTGAGCACATTAAGGGGCAAAAAGTGGTGCATAAGATTTGCTTTTAAAGGCCGGCTGATTTGCTAGATAGATGGAGTTTTTGCAGCAGTGGTCAAAATACCTGCCCCTTCCCCTCTTTTTGAGATGTTCAAAAATTTTACTCTTCTTATTTGAGCTGCAGTACTTGCTATGGTTTTTGATGGAGCACTTAATTTCTTCTGCCTGTCACAAAGGTAACTATTTAAATGCCATGGAGAAAGGAGTAAGCTGGCCTGCCTTCTGAATCTGTTGTGTGTTTTCTCTTTAGCTGATGAGTGCTATTCAAAAAGGAAGGGTGTCTGGAAGTCGGCTTGCTATACTAATGAAAACTGCAGAGGAGAACCTTGACAGAAGAGTCCCAATTCCAGTGGACCGTAGCTGTGGAGGATTGTGAGTCTGAGCAGTAAATCCACAGTCAACAAACATAGGAACAACAAATCACCATGCAACAAACAGAGATGACTTAAACCACCCTAAAATAATGGATAAGGAGAGCTGCCTTTTTTGACACTGGAAAGCATTCCAAAACTTTAGGATGTTGGTGTACTTACCAACTTTCTTTGTTGATAATTTATTTGTATTTGCTGTTCAATGTAGCTTCTAAAAAGTGTTTTTAGACATTTTTTTTCTCATTTTCAATGCACATTGATTTAATGTTTTGCATCCATTTTGTGACCTGTTAGACTTGACATGCTCCCTTTTTGTTTATTCATTTATTCTGAATCAATTCTAGAGGCAGAATATTTTGGCAGAAATTGAAAAGAGAAACTGGAAAAATATTGTGATATGCACAAAGCTCTGGACTTTAAGCTTAAAGATTGCATTTATTGTTAAAAAAGGTGACCTATTGAAATGATAGTCTTTCTGGAGATTTCTCAGCCTCTTTCTCCTTCAGCTTGGCTTTCTTCCTCAACCAGACAATACAGTGGTACTTCAGAAAGTTCATGGAAAGACGGAATTAAAAGATAATATGAATCTTTCCATGAACTTTTTGAAGTACCTAGGTATTGCACAATTTTATATCTAGAACATGACCGGCAAAACTGGAAAGGCAAGAAAAGTTTAAATCTGGTTACAGGAGTAAGTCTCAAAGAGAAACACTGAAAGCTTGCAGAATCACAGGTATAAGACAAGGATAGCATTGACATTTGCTGGGAGTTACAGTGATGGTTTCATCTCAGCAGTTCATTTTTTTCCCTAGTCACTGCTGGTTTTCTTTGACTATTATACTTGCCAGGAAGATCCTTGCTTTTCTTACTTTAAAACCAGCATGTAAGTGGCAAGTTGGATGTAATGTAAAAATTTCTCCAACCTTTACAGCAGTAATATATTTAAGGGTTAAAAACCTGTGGTTATATAGCGGCATATAATAACATAATTTTCAATCCCCAAATCCTAAATTTTGGAGTATGTGATATTGTCAAACCTGGCCTATCATTTTTTGGGGTATGTGCCAACAGATAGTAAAAGAGCATAGAATAGACTTAAGTTAATTTAATTATAATTATACGTAAAGCAAGGTACAATACTTCAGTATCCAAGGTCATTTTTGTTACTTAAAGCCTTTCCCCTGCTGTACTCAGTGGGAAAATTCTCAGCCAACCAAAATAAACTAAAACCACACACACACACACACACACACACACACACCCAACAAGCAAAAATCAGTGTGCATTAAATTTATAAGTAATGCATTGAATTTAAAAGACTAGTTTGGGATGTTTTTGCTATATTTTGTTGGCATTTTAATCGTCATCAGAATTTTTATGAAGTTAACTGCCTATTTTTCGTTTTTTAAGATCAGGTTCTGTTTGTAATAGTAAGCATAACACTTTATTTCCTTCTCCAGTGCGCCACCGGGCCGGCCCTTGAAGTCAGTTTTTTAAACTGGTTCATAAAACAGTTTTGTGCTGTTATTTCTATTTATGTCAACATTGTAGAATATCTTCATACCTCACTCAAGTGGGTTATGAACCTGTGTGTCATAATATGAACACTGGAGGTTCATTCACCTAAGCCTCCACCCACCACACCAATGCAAACAAAAACCACAAGGAAAGACAGTATCCTAGTTTGTTTTTAAATGAAGTTTAGATGCTTGCCACTTCCTAAAAGAAAACCTAAAACAGAGCAAATAAGAGATGCTCCCAGGTATCACTGTGAACTTTTTCTTTCAAGGTTTGAATTTTTACCCCGGCTTTTTCTTTCTTTCTTTCTTTCTTTTTTTTTTTTTTTTTGAATAATGGAAATGTGGCTTTGCAATTTAGTGTTTTTCTATCAAGATAATGAATTTGTTTGTTTAGAGCAAGTGATACTTAATAGGTAGAAGAGCTGTCCTTTAAAACATCCAGATGATATGCCACAATATTGTACATTTGTGCTCTCTCCTTTTCTCTCTCTCTCTCTCTCTCTAGTTAGATCAAGAAACGATGACTTGTATCCTCCCTGATTCCATTACAGTAGGGTCCGGGATTAGAACGTGACTGGCCTGGGCAAATCTGTGTTTGTAAACAGGCCTTGTGCGTGCATGTTTTGCTATGAGTGAAGTTCCTTTAAAGACAAAGAAAAGTGCACTTTTCTTCTTTTGAATATATCTGCATTTGCTTAAAATCTGCAAATTCTAAAACATACACTCCTTCACCAATCCCAGAGACTTGTTTTGGTAATGAACCGGTTTCAAGCCATTACTGTGAATAAAGCACCCCAGCATTTTTGTGTAAGTTCTTAATTAAACCTGTACAGCTTCTTTATCTGATTCAGGAAAAGGGGAGAAGAAATAGGGAATAAGCTCCTTCAAACCCATTCCAAAAACAAATGAATTTTTTTTTCTTTTTTTATAAACATGATATTACTTGATTCTGTTGGGGTAGGTGTGGGTGTGCAGGGATTGCCTTTTATCATTAAGTGATTTATTTCAAGAGCCTTTAAGCAGATTCAGGTGAAGGAACCCCTCCTTCTCTGCTGGAGAGTTGGATACTCCTTGAAATAGCCCCCACCAAAGTCATAAAAACAGTGATAATGCTGGATTATTTGTTAAGCCAGGGTTGTCTGCCTCATATCCATCATGCTGTTTGCAATATTGCAATATCCTTGCTTTCAACCAATTTACGCTGAGTGTAACTTTAGGATTTCTAGTATTAAAAGCATGCTCCCTATTCTGCTTTAGTTTTGGGGTTTGTTTTGTCTGTGCAATATTGCAATATCCTTGCTTTCAACCAATTTACGCTGAGTGTAACTTTAGGATTTCTACTATTAAAAGCATGCTCCCTATTCTGCTTTAGTTTTGGGGTTTGTTTTGTCTGTTTCAAAATCTGCAGCTTCCTCTTTTGTATAAAAAATTTTATTCTGACTTCTACTTAATATAGATAGTGTAAGGGTCATCACTGATTTTATTTCCCTCTTTTTTATGTATTTCTAAACATTTTTGGCATATGAATGTAATGATATTGAAGTCAGTGACTCTATAACTTGCACTGTTTTGCATTATGTCAAACTTTTTTAGGGAGTATAAAAAGCCCTATCATGTTTTTAAAGAATATCAAGTATAAGACCACTACTGGAGTGAATATACACACTGCATGTTTTCATATGTGGCACTTTTATGTATTGTGTTGGGTTATTGTTCTAGATTGGGCTGTTAAATACTATGTTTGAGGCTGGGTTGTCATTTTTATAACTGTCTTGGTGTTTTATTGCTATTATTTATTACTTTTGATATACGGAATGAGCTGCATGCATTTATAGAGCAATAAGAGGATGTATTTAATGTGCCTTCTTTTTAACTGAATAAGACTGAAAGCATGAATCAATAAAACTGATTAAAACGGTCCATTTGCTGGCATTTTGATGTTACTTGCAGTCAGGCAAATAATTTTGATTACTGTTGAAGTTCAAAAAAAGTTTGAAAATGTTTTCACAACCTATGTTTTAATGAAACTTACATGTTAATTCTTTTAGCTTGGAATTTTATAATTTTATCTCGAAAGTGAAATATCTGCATAGACAGATTTAATTTTATGAGACTGTCAGAATTATTTGTATTAATTTGTTGTTGCAGCCTTTAGGGCATGACTTCTGCATTTGTACAATCTTATTCTAAAATTACATTCATCCTGTTACAACTCAGTTGAATTCCCCCCCTCCCTTTTTTTTTTGTTTTGTCAACCAGAGCCTTTCAGCCTAAACGTTCCCAGGCACACTGATGAATTTTATCATAACTAAAATCAATAGAAATGAATGGGAAAGATTACATAATCCATTTTGATCATCTTACATGTCAAGTTAGTGCAGGGTTGCCAAGTGTTGATAAATGCTCTGACAGAAGAAATCGCTATATATTTTCATTGTCAGTAAATCAGTAAAGCTGTTATCAGTTTTAACACAAATTTTATAATTCTCCTGTTATTTCATAGGTTTTAATTTACACATGTATATGAAGCATATTCTCTGCTTGTGTTTTAGATGTGCCGCTTCCTGGTTCTGCATGCTCAAAGGCATGTGTGAGCTTCTGAAGGTTCTTTGAAATTATATAGAATACCCCAAAGCGATGGCTCCCAGACAGACTTGGAACAATGAACTGTTTGTTCAGTGCCTGGAAAAAAATACATAGCAGTTCACAACATTTTTCATTGATCTATCTTATCACATTTGATAGCACTTAAAAATTTGCCAACATAAAATTTGTCAAAATACTGCTCCCAGGTTTGACATGTATGAAATTATGGTCCTTAAAAAAAGGGAAATATGATACTAGCATCACTATTTTGCAGTCTTTGTCAACACTGCATTATCCCTGGTGTCAGATTTCACCTGATGACATTTGACTTGTAGAGGAAGGAAACAGCAGAAGTTTTAAATTGATCTGGCACCCTCATAATGAGAGAATTTCTGTATAGGAGGCAGAAATGATGAGCCTTTTGTGCCTGTACTTTGTATTTTAGGTCTCTAATTAGCTACCTAACTTGTGAAATACAGGTACAGAATATGATGTATGTGAGCCTTGATGATATATCAGAGATAGTCCTGCAGGTCCTGTGCTAAGAAGGTTGTGGACCCTTTGTAAAAATCAACAGATATCTTTACATTTTGTTAAATACCTGATCCAGAGTGATAAGATTCATACGATCTGAAGGAAATACTGCTTTAGCAGAATTATCAGGGCTATTTTCCTTCTCCACATTTGGCATTGAATTGTATAGCTTAGCATACCCTGTATGTTCCCTGTTAACTGTATTCATATTGGAGTTGCCTGAATCTAGTGAGGTTAAGGTATACATATTATAGTCTTAGATAATATATCATGTTTCAGTGGAAGAGATGGGAGGATTGAGTCTCATGGTACCCGCCTTGGATATTAGAGCATGGCACATGGTACAACTGTCTCCACCAGCTTCTGAGCCATTCAAGTCCTCTGTTTTGTGTCTTACACAGGCCATTGCCTGCTTTCATTTTCCAGTTATAGTGGCTCCTGTAGAGCGCAGGTCCACTTTTCTTCTACATTGGCTGC